GACATTAGATTTAGACTTCTTGTATTCAAGTGTAAAGGTAAAACGCTTTAATAATTGGCAATATTGTTTGAAGCTTAAAGTAAATTTTTAAACGACACTTAGAATATTTTTACATACAAAATTATTTTCCAAAGATACAAACTTTATTGCATATTTGGAAATGTCAAAAACCTTTAAAATGAGTTTTTAAAAATATTCCTAAAGAAGTCATGCTCTTTCCAAACGATCAAAGATAATTTTTTGTGAAAAAATGGTTGTACCAAACGCGTCCGGTGTGTTTGGCGGACGTCCGGTAGAGCCGGTTTGTCCAACGATCCAAATAGCGACCATTCTGATTTTTGATAAAAAAAAACGACTAGTTGACCATCCAGTAGGTATCGGACGTCTGATAGGGGTCGTTCGGTAGGACAGAAATTTGATGATTTTTCTACTATAAATACCTGTGCAATTTGCATTCAATAAAAAATAAAAAACTTCCAAGAACATTAAAAGTGAGATCTTCTTGAGCTTGAATATTTGTTACTTATCTTTATCAATCCATTCATACTTGAAAAACCTTTGATTGATTCAACATTTGAAAATTATTTTCTCAAAGTTTTTCATATCTAACACTTGAGCTTCATTCATTTCCATCCACTAAAGTGTTAGCCTATTTTTCTCTCATTATACTCAACTTTGATATATTATTTCTTGAGAGAAAAGTTTCAATTTGTAAATTTAAACTTGTGGGTCGTGGTGAACTCTCGAAAAGATCAACATTGTAAAAGGATCGGTGCTCCTTGATTGTAAGTCACGAGAAGCTTTGTAAAAGGGTTGGATTCCACCATAAGTCAATCAATGTAGTAAAAAAGGCCTACTCATGACGGAGAGCTTGGTAATGGAGAACGTAAATCGGTTGAGTTGGATCGAACCTGCTATTAAATCGTTTGTACTCTCTATATCTAGAATTAAAAGTTTTAAAAACTAATTCACCCCCTCTTGGTTAGTCAATCTTGGGCTTTCAATTATTATCAGACTAAGGTTCTCTTTTTTAAAAGATTTTACAATCTTGAGAAATGGCTAACCCGATGTTTCAAAATCTTGAGGGGCATTCCACAAACCGACCTCCTTTCCTTAATGGAACACACTATAACTATTGAAAGGCTAGGATGATGATTTATGTTCAATCCATTGATTATAACATTTGGGAAATCATCGAATATGGTCCTTATATGCCTACCAAACTATTCCCAAATCTAGAGAGGAATATGATGATGAAGACAAAAGAAAATTGTCATGCAATGCCAATGCTAAGAACTTACTTTATTGTGCATTAGATAGAAATGAGTTTAACCGTATTAGTACGTGTGATTTCACATTTGACATTTGGCATGCATTAGAAGTTACTCATGTTTGTACTAGTAAAGTGAAAGAAACCAAAATTAATATTTTGGTTAAGGAATTTGAAATTTTTTTTCATGAAACAGAATGAACCTATTGTTGATATGATTACTTGTTTTTACCGACATTGTAAATGTTCTAAAAGAATTTGATCAAAAATATACTAATGGTGAACTTGTGAGCAAAATGCTTAGGTCCCTATCCGAAGATTGGATCCCATTGAGAATGTTAATAGAGAATACCAAAGATATAAATACATATCCTTTGGAAGAACTCTATAAAACATTGATGACTTATGAGCTCACAATGCCGAGGTCAAGGAGAAGACAAGAAAAAGTAAAGAGGAATCAAAAGTATCCTCTAAGCGTCAAATAGCTTTAAAGTCGGCAATTGAAGAGGGAACAACAAGTGACAACATGAGTAATGAAGAGATTGATGATTTGGTTCTTCTTGTTAAAAAATGGAGGGGCTTCCAAAACAATCGAAAAATTTCAAAAGAAGGATGAAAAAGTTGAAGAGAAAAGCAAGAAAATCATATGCTACAATTGTGACAAGCCCAGTCACAAGAGAACCGAATGCCCAAACAAACGGAAAAACATCAAGAAAAAGGCATTACAAGCTACATGGGATGAAAGTGATGATGATCAAAACAAAAATGATAGCCAAGATAAATTGCCAACATGTGCTTCATGGCCATCGAAGATGAGGTAAATTCTATTGATAAATGTTCATATGATGAATTGTCAAATTCCTACGATGAAATGCTTGAAGAATTTGAAAAGCTTGCATTGAGTCACTCCATTCTTAAAAGGAAAAATTCTTCATTAAAAGAAGAAATAAATAAAATTTAGAAAAAACAAAAAGAAAATTTCAATTACAATTTATTGATCAAAGAAAACTCTCTTTAAAGGAAAAGATTGAGGACTTGACAAAAATTATTTACAAATTTTCCCAAGGAAAGAAGAATTTTGATTTAATGCTTGAAAATCAAAAATATATTTTTGATAAAGGAGGAATTTGATACAAACTCTCCTTGAACCAAAAGTCTCTTGAAAATATATTTGTTAAATCTTCAAATTCTTCCACTTCAAAAATTACATGTAGTTTTTGCAATAAAAATGGACACATTGCATTCAATTGCTTAACCAAAAAGAAGTTATACTTTGAAAGAAAATATAAGTGGATACAAGAATCCCCAAATACTAACTACCAAGGACCCAAGTTTGTATGGTACCAAAAATCAAAAATTGAATTATTTTTGTAGGTATCAAAGAAAGTGAAAAGCAAATGGTTCTTGGATAGTGGATGTTCAAGACACATGACCGGAGATAGAAAGATACTAACAAATTTCAAGAAAAAGAATAAAGGTCATGTGACATTAGGTGACAATGCTAAATGAAGAATCATTGGAATAGGAGATGTTAGTAATCACTCTTCTCTTAAAATTGAAAATATTTTACTAGTTGATAACTCCAAACATAATTTGCTTAGCATTAGTTAATTATGTGATAAAGGTTATCATATTAATTTCGACTCTTCAAAATGCCTTGTAAAGGATGCTACTTCAAAAGAAGCAATGTTCATAGGTAGCCGAGTAAACGATGTTTATATCCTAAATATTGAGTTTGAAAATGATGAAAAATGTTTACTAAGCCTCAAGGAAGATACATGGTTATGGCATAGGAAATTAGGCCATGCTAGCATGGATCTTTTTTCAAAAGTTTCAAAACAATGTTTCGTTAAAGGATTGCCAAATTTGAAATTTGAAAAAGATAAAATTTGTGATGCTTGTCAATTTGGCAAGCAAGTGAAAATTTCTTTCAAAACTAAGCAACACTCTTCAACATCAAAAGCCTTATAACTACTTCACATTGATCTTTTTGGACCCTCTAGAACCCCAAGTTTGGGAGGAAAACATTATGATTTTGTCATTGTGGATGATTTTTCTAGATTCACTTGGGCTCTATTCTTAAGTCTCAAAGAAGAGGCTTTAAATGTCTTTAAGCATTTTTGTAAAAAGGTTCAAAATGAAAAGGGCTACTCTATCACTTCTATAAGAAGTGATCATGGTGGAGAATTTGACAATATTGCTTTTGATAACTTTTGCAATGAAAATGGATATAATCATAATGTCTCGGCTCCTAGAACTCCTCAACAAAATGGAGTAGTAGAAAGAAAGAATCGAACATTGCAAGAAATAGCTAGGACCATGCTAAATGAAAATAGCATGCCAAAATATTTTTGGGCCGAAGCCATCTATACCGCTTGCTATATTATAAATAGAGTACATATAAGTAAAAAGAAAAACAAAACTCCTTATGAACTTTGGAAAAATATAATTCCAACCATTGGTTACTTTAGAGTGTTTGGGTGCAAATGCTTTATTTTAAACACTAAAGATAACTTGGGAAAGTTTGATTCAAAATTCGATGTTGGAATTTTTCTGGGATATTCATCATCTAACAAAGCTTATAGAGTAATTAACAATAGAACTCTAGTTGTTGAAGAATCCATGCATGTCACATTTGATGAAACTAATTCTCTTGATCGAGAAAAAGGTAGTGATGATGATGATGTAGGGTTGGAAGCTCATTTTGAACAAATGAATATCCAAGATCAAAATAAGGAGGCACTAAATAAGGAATCAAATACACAAGAAAATGAAGAAAGACAACCCGAAAAGTAATATGATCCCCCATTACCAAAGGAATGGAAATTTGTTCCATCTCATCCTAAGGAGCTAATAATTGGCGATCAATCAAAAGGTATCACCACTAGAACTTCTCATAAAAATCAATTCGGTAGTTGTGCATTTATTTCTCAAATCGAACCTAAAAATTTCCAAGAAGCTGAGTTTGATGAGTTTTGGATTCTAGCAATGCAAGAAGAATTAAAATAATTTGAAAGAAATCATGTTTGGAACTTAGTTGCTAGACCAAACAATCAAACCGTTATTGGAACAAAATGGGTTTTTAGAAATAAAAGAGATGAAAATGGAATAATTGTGCGTAACAAGGCTAGATTAGTGGCCCAAGGTTACAATCAAGAAAAAGGAATCGATTTTGAAGAAACATTTGTACCCGTAGCAAGATTTGAATCCACTCGTATGCTTCTTGCATTTGCATGTTACAAAGGTTTTACACTTTATCAAATGGATGTTAAAGTTCATTTTTAAATGGTTTTATTCAAGAAGAAGTTTTTGTTGAGCAACCTCTTGATTTTAAAGATCACAAGTATCCGGATCGTGTATTTAAACTTAGAAAAGCTCTTTATGGTTTGAATCAAACTCCAAGAGCTTGGAACGAACGGTTGAGCAAATTTCTTCTCTCAAATGATTTCTCGATTGGAAAAGTGGATACCACACTCGCTGTAAAAACTCATAACAAGGATATGCTCATTGTTCAAATATATGTTGACGATATCATTTTTAGTGCTACAAATGTTCATCTTTGTGAAGAATTTTTAAATTGCATGAGCAAAGAATTTGAAATGAGCATGATGGGTGAATTAAAATTCTTCCTTGATCTTCAAATTAAACGCGCAAAAGAAGAAATTTTCATAAATCAAAATAAATACATATTAGACATGCTTAAGAAATTTGATATGCATGACATAAATCGATGAACACATCAATGAGCTCATCCTTAAAGCTTGATAAAGATGAGCAAGGCATATCCGTGGACATCGTGAAATATCGAGGTATGATCGGATCTCTTCTTTATTTAACTGCTAGTAGGCCTGATATTATGTTCAGTGTTTGCTTATGTGCTCATTTTCAATCTAATCCTAAAAAATTACACTTAAAGGCCGTAAAAAGAATTTTTCATTATCTAAGTGGAACTAGAACTTTGGCACGTTGGTATCCAAAAGGCACTCACATTGACTTAATTAATTACTCGGATGCTGATTGGGCCGGATGTAATGTTGATCGTAAAAGCAATAGCGAAAATTGTCACTTTCTTGGCTTTGCACTCGTGTCTTGGTCTAGTAAGAAACAAAATTCCGTTACACTATCCACCATTGTGGCGGAATAAATATTAGCTGCAAGTTGTTGTGCACAAACACTTTGGATGAAACGAACTCTATGTGATTATCATTTAACTTATGATCATGTGCCTATTTTGTGTGATAATACTAGTGCCATAAATTTGTCTAAAAATCCCGTCTTACACTCATGAACTAAGCATACTGAAATTAGACACCATTTTCTTCATGATCACGCACAAAAAGGAAATATCGAATTAGAATTTATCAAGACCAATGATCTTAGCCGATATCTTTACCAAACCTCTAGCTCATGAACGTTTTTCTCATATTCTAAGAGGATTGGGGATGATCAATGAAACTGAGGTAAGTGAAGTTTGAAAAGTTTATATTCTGTCTATTTTAAAAAAAAAAAGTAGTGGACGGACCTACCAGATCATCCAGTATATACCGGACACGTCTATAGAATGATTCGGTACCATGACCTTTCTTACTGCATAACTCTATGTCTTAGCGGACGAATTCGGTACCCATAGCAGACGTCCGGTAGAACGAAGTTCCAGTTTTAAAAAAGGCTCGAATTTCATTTCTCTCTCTTCATTCTCTTCATTTCCTTCGACTTCTTCTCCCCCAATCTCCTCTCCAAACCATCTTCTTCACTCCAAATCATAAAATTTACTTAAGAATCACAAAACCCATCACTTTTACTTCTTCAATCTCAAAAATTTTACCTCTTTTTGCGATTTTTCCCAAAAATCCGAGCCCTAATTTCCATTTTCGAAATTTTTCAAATTCTTCTCATACCTTGCAATGACTGGCTCCAAAAGGATTGGAAAGAGGTTGAAGCAAATGGCTAGACGCTCTCAATCCCCTTCTTCAGAGGAAGCCACGGATTCGGAGCCCAAGGTGCCGGTGAACACTTTTGAAAAATCGCCCATTCTACTAGGTAAAGTGTTGATTTTATGGATTTTTCTATTCAAGCTCCTGCTTTTCATATTGAGGAATTTTTTGAAACAATGGGATGGACTTTGGTATGTACCTTAGAAGAAAATGGTTATCCCCAACTAATGAAGGAATTTTACAAAAAGATGGTTATTACTCCTAGTTCGGATTGTATATCTTGCTTTATTAAAAAGTATGGGTCACCATTGATAAAGCTCTAATTTGCCAACTTTTTAATCTTGAACCATGTGATATCCAAGTCTTTGTTCATAAAGCTCATCCAACTAGGGACGATTACAACCCGAGTGATGCATGCTGTCGTGTGACGGGAAAAGATTTTGAAAATATCACAAAAATTAGTGCTAATCAACTCATTCTACCTTGTAAAGTTTTGCAAACTATCATTGCCAATGTTGTTATTTTACCAAGGAAAGGGCATCGGGATGAAGTAAATTATTTTGACCTTTTTATTCTTGATTCCTTCCTTGTTGGTCGTAAATTAGGTTTCCCGACCATTGCCTTGGGTCTTATGAAACTCATACACTCTTCCCATTATGCCAAAGCCTTACCTTATGGAATGCTTTTAACAAAAAAATTTAAACATTTCAATGTCCCTCTTGATGGTGAAGTAGTTATAAAACCTCGCGCCACCGATACCATAAATATTCAAACTCTTAAACGAATGAAAATTTATAAAACACAAAGCCAATGAGTGGCATTCACCAAAGGGTTCGACCCCACCTCGGGACCATCGACACTACCTTTTGAAGAGGAAGACGAAGCAAATGAAACTGTTCCATTACCTTTGCATTTACCTCCTATTCAGCCCTCGGTGGCTCTTCATCCTCTCACAATTTCATTTTCACCGAGGCTCATTTTAAGCTTCTCAATGGGTGCCTCGACTCTCTTACCTCATTAGTTGATCACATTTAAGCTCAACAGGACACCATTCTTGCACAGCGGGCGGAGATGCAGACTCAGTAGAATGCATTCTTTGAGTACTTCTATGCACATTTTCCTCCGTCGCCTTTGTACTTGCTTTTGTTATCTTTGGCTTACAGAAGCTATTTTTTTATGCCCTTAAAATACTCATCTTAGTGTTTGTTGACTTGTGAAGCTATATTTTTTATGTCTTCTACTTAATGACAATGTCTATGGTAATGCTTGGTGTACTTACGTTTTTCATGCTTTATTGTTCCTTTTCGCTTATGTCAAGAGGGGAAATTTATTTTGAGATGATAATGGCATATAATATGCATGATTTGTATAAGTAAGGGGGAATATATGATAAATATACATGATTTGTATAAGGGGGGAATACATGATAGGGAGAATCATTTTTTTTAACATGTGCTTTTCAGTTATCAAAATTCCTATATATCATCTCTTGTTTGTCATAATCAAAAAGGGGGAAATTGTTGACTTCACGTTTTGATTATAACACACATATTGCTTATATCGCTAACAATCGCATTTGAATGATTATAGAAATTATGGCAAACTTGATCAATTGAAGATGAAAAGTTCACCATTGAAACACTCGAAAAGATGAGCAAATGCAAAACGAGATAAAAGCTGAGTGTACACGTCAAATTATTCAAGACGTAAACCTTATCAAGTTCCAATATTGAAGACATTAGATTTAGACTTCTTGTATTCAAGTATAAAGGTAAAATGCTTTAATAATTGGCAATATTGTTTGACGCTTAAAGTAAATCTTTAAATGACATTAGAATATTTTTACATACAAATTTTTGTTCCAAAGATACAAACTTTATTGCATATTTGGAAATGTCAAAAACCTTGAAAATGAGTTTTTAAAAATATTCCTAAAGAAGTCATGGTCTTTCCAAACGATCAATGATAATTTTTTGTGAAAAAATGGTCATACTGGATGCGTCAGGTGTGTTTGGCAGACGATCGGTAGAGCCGGTTTGTCCAACAGTCCAAATAGTAACCGCTCTGATTTCTGACCAAAAGACAACTAGTTGACCGTCCAGTAGGACAGAAATTTGACAATTTTATTGCTATAAATACCTGATCAGTTTGCATTCAATAAAAAAAAAACGTCCAAGAACATTAAAAGTGAGATCTTCTTGAGCTTGAATATTTGTTACTTATCTTTATCAATCCATTCATAATTGAAAAACATTTGATTGATTCAACCTTTAAATATTATTTTCTCAATGTTTTTCATATTTAACACTTGAGATTCATTCATTGCCATCCATTAAAGTGTTAGCCTATTTTTCTCTCATTATACTCAACTTTGATATATTATTTATTGAGAGAAAAGTTTCAATTTGTAAATTTAAACTTGTGGATCATGTTGAAGTCCCATAAAAATCAACATTGTAAAAAGATCGGTGCTCCTTGATTATGAGTCATCGGAAGCTTTGTAAAAGGGTTGGATTGCACCATAAGTCAATCAATATAGTGAAAAAGACCTTGCTCGTGACGGAGAGCTTGGTAAGGGAAGACGTAGATCGGTTGAGTTGGATCGAACCTCCTATTAAATCGTTTGCACTTTCTATCAAAAAGACCTTGCTTGTGACGGAGAGCTTGGTAAGGGAAGACGTATATCGGTTGAGTTGGATCGAACCTCCTATTAAATCGTTTGCGCTTTCTATCCCTTTTACTTATTTTCTTTACATTACTTTCATTATTCAATTTCGTATTTGTGCAATAGATATATCAAGAATTAATTTTCGAAAAAGTTTTAAAAACCAATTCACTCCCTTCTTAGTTAGTCAATCTTGGGCTTTCAGAAACCATTTGAAAATTTCCATTATTTTAACCTATATAAGGCATTATTTCTGAAAATTAATTTATAAATAAGTTTGAAACTATGACGCATTTTCTTTTTATAATTTTTTTTTTGAATTTATTCATTTCATTATCACTTCTTTAATTTTTAGTTTATCGTTAATATTTTACATTTGTACATTGTATTCATACCAATCAGTCTATGTAGAAAAAATGGTGGACGTTCGTACATTTTAAATCTTTCTCTTGTATCCAGTATTGCGTCTATGTAGATTTTTTCATTTTAAATATTAAATTTTTTAATTCTTCCGATTGGGTTAGGTCGAATTGGCTTTTAGTTTATAACCCAAGACAAATCCAACCCAATTTCAAATTTATTTTTTCAACCCAACTCAACTCAAAGTGAACTTAAAAATCAACCCAAAACGGTCGATTTAGGTTGAGTTCATCGGTTTGAGCAATTTAGGTTGGTTTTTGCCCAACCTAACCAACCCAAAATACTAGCGTTAATTTTGTCATGTAGTTGCAGTTGCAATACAAAAATTTATATTAGTACAAACATAAGTTTAATATGTTTGTTTTTAATCAAAAAATTTCTAAATATGTTTCTTTTAATTTTCTCTTGATTCATTTTGATTTAGTAAATAAATTATTTGACCAAAAGTAAAAAAATAAAATAACTTCAGAAGAAAACAAATAACTAAAGGAAAAAAATCATAACTCAGCTATTAACTTTGTATCAATTCAATTTTAATATAACACGTTTACATTTTCAAAACTCAGGTAGTAATTAAATTCTATTAATTAGAAAATTATATTAAAAAAAAATACCGATCTCTCTCCAACCAGGCCACAATCATTGGCATCTACTCGTCACCATCCTCTCTTTTAGTCGTCGGCATCCACTCGTCCGCATTCACTCTCATAGTCATCAATATTAAAATAATTTCACCGGAGCATCTTCTTTAGCGGTGAACTGATCGTCGCTTAGCGACGACTAAGTATTGTCGGCTTAGATAGTAAAGAGAGTGAGAAACAAAGCAGTCGTTCAAGAACATTTCTTGAGCATCGTCAATGATTGATCATCTTCTTTAGCGACGATTGAGTAGTGCTTGTGTAATTTAAATCTATTTTTAAAATTGGAAATTGAAATACAACCCCTAGTGTAATTTATAGAAAACTCGCCGAACCAAATAACTTCAATTTTTATCGTCGAAATCTGATTAATTGAATTTGTGATCAATTCAGAGAAATCAATGACATGTGACTAGTTCTCTTGAATTTACATTAATATGTTGCCAGTGATATTGTTCCAATGGCCTGTGACCACTTCTTTTGGATCTGTGACATGTAGACATTAATTTGTTGCCTATGAATGGTGACCTGTAAATTATAATATGTAACCAATTAATATTGATCTGTGAACTATAACTAGTGACCTACGAATATCTGTGATCTAGACATTATGACATGTGATCTGTGAATGGTGACTTGTGACCTATGAATTATTACTTGTGACATGCGAACTATAACATAAGATTTGTGAACATATGTGCCCTATAGAATATGACCTGTGACTTATGAACTATAACATGTGAACAATAACATGTGACCAATTAATATTGACCAGTGAACTGTAACATGTGACTTATACAAAATGACATGTGATCTATAAATAGTGACCTATGATTTGTGTACCGATGACCAATAAATATTAAAATATGAATATAACTCATGGATCTGTGATCAATTCTATTTGATCCATTGATCTGTAATAAGTATACAAAGACATGTGAAATGTTATCAGTTTACATGTCAAAGGGCATTG